ATTTTTCCATAGCATTACATTTGAATTTAACAGTTCAATCTTTCAAATAACGGACAGACATTTGTGAAATTATGATGCATTTGTGAATTATTTTAACAATCTAAATATGCTCATGTACAGACAGATACATTTAAAAAACAAGGAAATTATGTTTTATTACATTTACAGTGATTTTACGTTAATTTACATTTGAAATGTAAAATCAGTCTGTTTATGTGAATTTAATGATATTCTAGAAGAACAGTACAAAACTGTAAAATACACAGTGAAATACTTTTATATTACAGGTTTTTACAGTGTGTTTGAAAAAGTACAACATCCATTGATATAGGAGGCAGCTTTAAATCTCCTTATTACAAACGTAATAGAAGAACAGTACAAAACTGTAAAATACACAGTGAAATACTTTTATATTACAGTTTTTTACAGTGCAGTTGTGTTCCTTCCTTGTGTATGTAAGCCCTTTGTACTGTTCCCTGCAGTGTCGCGTTCTCCCTCCACACTGTGTGTCCCCCAGCCTGCCTGTTTAGATTATTTCATATTCCCTGTGTAGTTAGTGCCGGTTTTCCAGGTGTTCAACAATAAAGCCATTTTTTTGAGTTTACCTGTTGCCTGCTGGAGGCTGTATTTTGGTCCTCCGTTCCTGCCAGACACACACAGCCCATGACACTGTATGCCATAAGTGAACAACACATTGATTCACAGATCTACACAGCAACTGTGATGGTTTGCTTAGGGGGGGTATTAAGGGGCTTAATAAGTAGACTTTTACCTCTGGGGTGCCAGCCAGGTTTCTCTCCTGGGATATGACATTGACTAAATTAAATTAATTACATTAAATAATTACAATACAAACCACATAATGCAAGATGTTTGCCTGGACCACAGCAGTCAGTTCGACCTGCTTCCTTTCTGATGTTTCCCATCCTGAGTCCTGTGAGCAGAACTCTAACTGGCTGGCTCCAGGCAGGGTGTGGGTGGCTGTAGCTCAGGAGGTAGAGCAGGTCAACCGGGCCTCAAATTGGGCCTCAAACTGGGCCTCAAACTGGGCCTCAAACCGGGCCTCAAACGGCCTCTGAGCTTTCACAGACTGTCTCTTGTATTTCTCCTGGTCTCCGACAGCCTTCCAACATTATCCAGCTCTCCTTTCTCTCTCATGTCCTCTATCAACACACAAGCCTTATTCCAGGCTCAAGAGCTTTCTCCTGAACTCTGTCCACTCTCAGCCTTATCGCGAGCTCTCTTCTCTCTCCTGACCTTTGCCAGCCTTTATTGCAGGTGTCTGCCTGTATTCTGTGCCTTTGGTAATGCTGCATTAGTGTGGTTTATACTCTATAGAGACGCTGTCCCTTTCCTGTCATGGTAAGATTGCTCTTATTCTTTTTTCCCCATTACCGCTGGGATTCTGTTCTGCTATAGTGGGTCATCAGAGTCTAATTGCCAAATAGCTTTACTTTCATTGCTCTAGTCCAATCATTGTCCTGCTTACCTTCTCCAAGCTAATCAGCCTCCTTCTGCTACGAGTGGTATTGAGTTTTTACCCAGGCAGTAACGGGAACACTAAACAGTCAAAGCACATGTGGACGTCACTGCTTCAGGTTCATTCTTTGTCCATACACGTGGATGAATGCTTGGTCTTCACATGCACACACATGCACATGCCTATAAACATACAGCCAGATACAGGCACAAAGCTAAAACACTTGGAGCATCTCTTTCTCATCAGTGCATCACTTTCTTTTTCACTATTTTTAAGAAGTGCTAATTGGACAAAGGAAGAGGAAACGATGGAGGGAGCAGACACATTTGTTTTGTGAGTACAGGGTCAAAGCTAACGTTGCACCCATAAATTTTGTATGTATGCATGTGGAAGGCAAGGCAACAATGGCCCTTTATATGGCTGCTAGAAAACTGTTACTCCCTACTGAAGAAAACAGAGACTTTCTAAATAAAATCAGCGAGAGGGAGACGTACAGACTGGTCCAGGATTCAAGGGTCAAAGTAACCAATCAAACTTGTGTCGCTGCTGAGAGGAAACAAAGTGACTTTGGGATGTTCTTAAACACTTTGAAATGCCAAATGTGTTTCAAAGTGTCTGAAAACTAAACAGACTTTAACAAAGAAGCTGATGTGCTGCACAGACTCTCAGTCTGCCTAAAGAAAGCAGAACATGAGCGAACGGTTGACAGTTAAGTGATTTCAGGAAGCTTTACATTCAGAAGACCAGCATGTGTTCATGGCGAGCATGCTTCAGCCTTACTGTGGTGTACTAGCGAGAGCTGAGATAAGTGACACTAACAGACTGAATGAAGTGATTAGGAAGGCTGCTCTGTGATTGGCTGCAAACTGGACACTTTTGAAGCTGCGGTGAAGAGGAGGTCACTGAACAAAGTGTTGTGTATTACAGACGACCTGGACTAACCTCTGCAGCACTGACAGACAGGCAGTGAAGCACTTTCTCTAACAGAACGATTGTGCTCCACTCTCACGACGACACCACATACATGGGATAAACTATTTCTTATCCTAGCTTAATTAAGTCTTTAGACAAATAATAATAATAATTATGTTGTTGTTGTTCTTCTTTTTTTTATTTTGTTTGTTTCTAAAATGAATTCTGCAGAGTGTTGTTGCTTTCATCCATCCGTTTTCTTCACCGTCTTCAGTTCGAGGTTATGAGTAGGGCCTGTCCCAGCTGCTGTAAGGTGAGAGGCAGGGTAACCCCAGGATGGGGCGCCGGTCTATTGTAGCTACGTATAGTTTGCCGTTTTTCCTCCCACAGTGTTTTTCTGTTATTCTAGCTACCTTTTGATTTTCGGGGGACTCGTTCAGGATGTAGAGATAAAACATTCTGTTTAAGGACGTCGCAGCACGCTGGGAAAGCCTGATGAGGCGTCACACAGTTGGGTTGCACTGTGATAATGCTGAGAGGCTACAGGTCAAGTGTGGAACAAAGACAGGTGAAGTAAGACGGCTGAAAAAGACAGTTTACCTTGTTTCCAGAGGTACATTGCTACCAAGCACCCAGCTGTCTTGCAGCGGGACGCTCTCGGGGGGCGTGGTCTGCAGCTCTGCTGGTGATTGGCCGGCCACAGGGGCCGGGCTTCCAGTAGGAGGGGTTAGCTGCCTTGTGGAGTTCAGGGATTGGCCAGTGTGATGTGTGGCGCTCAGGGCTTGGCTAAGGGCTGTTACTGAGGGTTGTTGGCGATGAGGCGGTGGTACCGGAGGAAGGCTGGAGTTGTGATGATTGGACGGTTGCTCTGTCAACAACAGAAGAGAGAACAACTCATCTTTACACACGTGTAAATCAGTGGCACTAACATTGTTGTCTTTTTAGCTGACTGGAAGTTTCCTTTCCCCGAGTACTGCTGTCGTTATAATCGCTGTAAATCAAACGGATACATTTAGATCATATTTCACGTCACAGTCTCACCAAACAGTCTCTCATCCGAAGAAATCCGTCCTTAACGAGAGAAAATAATGTTAGCCACAGTCCGTTTTTAAGCAAACAAAGCAAGAACTGGCAAAAAAGCCAGCGCTTCTTAACCTAAGACAGTCGGTCCGTCTGAAGAAGGTCAGAATTCAAAATGTGATGTTATTATTATACAACGTCTGGGTGATTGATATAAAGGCAAATTTCCCAGATGATGCGGTTAAGGTTGATGAAGAGTTATAATGTCGATTTTTTTAATATCACTGGATGTGAGTGCAGCGTCAGTGAGAAGTGTAACTAAACACTCGGCTAGAATGAATACAGCTCAGTGACTGGCCTTCACAAAGCTCTGCTCCGATTCTGTAAAAATATTTGCTCAAAGCTGACCCGGGTTCAACTTTTCCTCACTGTTTTTGTCCCTTTGCTTTTCAACTCCCCTTTCCGTCCTCAGGGTACCGAGAAGGAAATGAATGGCAGTCTTGGAATTTGATTTGCATAAAGAGCATCAGATCTCCATTTCCCAGCCCTGCTGTTATTCTTTCTCTGCTGCACTCAGCGAGGAAAACAGAAAGCAAAGAGAGAAGCGAGGGATATGTGCAGGAGTAGCTCTTCCTCTCGCTGCTTCGTGTTCTGTTTGCCATCTTAATAACTGTTCCAGTTATGCAGACTTTACAGGCTGAACGCTGAAAACCACATATGAAAAGTCTGAGTTTCATTATGACTATTTAGGCCTCAAGACTATTATTTGTAATCACTGCACCCCCTACAAACCCATACATTTAAAGACAATGTGCAAATATTACTGTGTGTGTGATGGGCAGGGCTAGTTTCCAGTTCTGCACACAAAAACTGTCTCGGCTTTTGTGTGACATGATCAATAGACTGTTTAATGTGTTTAATGGCAGATTCTGGGATTTGCTTTTGCCAATCATTTCTTTGTACAACTCCAAATTCATGTCTAATACATCATATTCATAATGACAATAATCACTTTCGTGTAACATGTAACACAAAGACGAAAAACCAGCATCATTACTCAAAACGCATTTAACTCAATATTAATCAGTGCGTCTAAAAGACTCGGCATAAATCACCAAGCAGGCCTGTGTTTCACCACCAAGTCAGCAACATCCAATCAGAATACTGCACATCTCAGTCAGTACTCCCACTTTTTAGTTAAATATTGTCACAGCTGAAAATAACATTTTGGAGCGTGAGGGAAAATCTGGTCTTTCCCAGCTGATGGCAGCACTGGCCAGTTTAGACCCCGTGATGAGACGCTCACGCACTTTCACTGTAGCACCCCTAAAGAACTCATTAGTAGGAATAACAAAATAAAGTAGCACCAGCAATAACAACGTGTTTTAGTATTATTCTCTGACATTGTCGTCTAATTATATAATAGCCCAGCGTTTCTGTTGGAGAGGGTACAGGTTAACAAAAACAGGTTTAAGCGCCCAGTGCACACGTACAAGTAAAGAAGATGAAAATGCTATTCCACGACACAAGGTTTTGCTTATTGTGTGCAAAGTGTTAGCTAATGTAATGAAATGTAACCAACGGCCAGCAGCAGTCTATATTGTCTATATTGTTCTATAGTTGCTAGTGCTGTCAGCGTTAATCTGGTTAAAATGACGTTAATGCCGTAACCGCATTAACGCAGCAAATCTCCGTTAGCGAGTTAACGCGGATCACCCCGTGCGAGGGCTGCAACACGTTAGTGCGGTTAGCTCGTTAACGCGTTAGTGCCGTGCAGTTGTAAACCCTGTTTATGTTTACCTTTGGTTTTATTTAACTTTCACCTTTTTGTTTTACATTTCTGTTCCCATCATTTAACACTGTCCTTGTTGTTTTGTGTTGTAATGTGACCTTGCACGTTTTGAAAGGTGCCAAGTAATAAAATGTATTATTATTAGTATGTTATGAAAGGTAATCCATACCCTGCTCTTATGATAACTTCAGTTTTTTTATGTTGTTTTTTTAGTTGAATATCACATGTCTGTGTGTGACTTCAGTGCAGGAGGACAGAGAGCTGATAGTGAGTCAGGTGGGAAAACATCAACTGTTGACTCAGGTATGACAATTAAAGTGTGCACCAGGTTGAACTGGGGTTTGCAAAAGGGAAAACAGTATGTTTGCAAGTAGCATATTCCAATGATCTGCTAAACACTGTGTGCAAGACACTGTGACTGGAACACAGTTCAGACTAACCAAGGATACGATATCTGCACTTCCTACTCCCACTCCACGAGCTGATTTCTCAACACTTCTAATCGGGTACATACTAAATACAGCACTGTGCACCACTCCATCACAATGACTTCACGTTAAACCACCACAATGTCCTGTTTTTGTGTGAATGTTTGCTGTTTTTGCTGCTGTGCTCATAGGTAACTGTAGCTGTCTCCATTTTACATGCATCTCTCTGAGCTAGAGGCTCGTGGCTTTCTTGTGGTGGTTTGCGCATGTGCAGAAACCTTTCATCCTTTATGATAAGATGATTTCAGAGCAGTGTGCATGTCAAGCTGACCCTGGCTCTGCTTTCACTGCTTTGATCAGTTATGGCCTGTACTGTGTGTAGCATTACCCAGTAAACAGGCTTCAGTAATTTAACATCATAACAGGCGAGTTTCCTCCCAACTTTCATGAACTTTCATGTGAGATGTAGAGAAGATGAGTTTGTGAAAAAGTGCTGAACAACAATTCAGACATGATATCAACAAAGAACCAAACAAAAAACAAACACATACATAACAAAAGAATAACAAGGCCTGATTAAAACAGAAAAGTTGTTAATTTTTTGTTTTTTAAAGAGTCCACAGAGTTACGCGGCGCTGGAGTGGTAAACTGTCCCAGAGCTAGAGACTACAGACTGAAACGCTCGGTCCCCTCGAGTCTGGACTCTTGTCTGAACAGCTAATAGGTTTTGAGTTTGTGAGTGGATACAGCGAGCAGCAATGTGTTTAACAAGAAGTTGAGACAAATAGTCTGCAGCGCGTCCATTTAATGCTCTGTATGCAAGTGTGAAATCTTAAAACGAGTTCTAAAATCAATGGTGAGCCAAAGTAAAAACAAGAGTAACACAGCGGTAATGTGAGCTGTGTCTGGGTGCAGCAGTTTGTGCTGCTTGGAGGAATAACAGAGGTGATTTCTTTAAGCCAGTAAAAAGGGCATTACAATAATCTAAACACAATGATACAAACACAAGAACAATTTTGTCCATTTCAGAGGAGGAGACTACGGATCGCAATTTGGTAATGTTCCTGAAATGAAATGTGAGATCGAGTTTATATGTGAAAGTTCAATAAGGACTCAAACATTACACTGCGATTGCGAACACTAGTCAGCAAGAAGAAGCAATCAGTTGACTTGTGTGCATATCAGGAGGAGCAATAATCGTGGCTTCAGTCTCAGAGTTTAAAACAATTGTTGGAGAGCTGGTCACTAATCCCACATACAGAGTCAGCCAGGGCAGACAGCCTGTGCAGCTGGCGAGGCCTAAAAGACAAGTAGAACTGAATGTCATACATAAAAATACTAAGAAATGCACCTAACACCTAAAAACAGAATAACAATCGACCCAGGATGGACCCCGAGGAGCCCCACAGCAGTGTCTGCTCACCCTAACAAGGATGTCCTCCTAGATGAACTGGAGGGAAACCAGTTGAGTGATCCCAGCCATAACCTTATTCTGGTCAACAGTATCAAAGGCACTGAGGTCAAGCAACATGAGCACAGAGCATCAATTTCCTGCATCAGATGCCATTAAAAGATCATTATAGAGCTTTAAACTGTTAGCAGTCGGACGTACCGCCCACGGGACATTGGATGGTTTAGGGGACTAATAGGACTGCTAAGGGGTTAAAGGAGCAGTTTCAGTGGAGTGCTGCTTTTAAAAAGCAAAGGACAGAAATTTGTAGTGTGCGTAATAAAGTTGTCCAAATTGATTTTCGGCAACTTTTGCTGATAATTTGCTAATGAATGGCAACTTTGAATTAGGCTGGTAATTGCAAGCAAAGCTGCTATAATGGAATTACCTCAGCGGAGCACAACGTTGCCTCAGCGAGCAGTTAATGATGGAGAACAGTAAAGGACCAATGCCTGTGAGACATCCAAACAGGAAGGAAGGAGGTCAGCTCTCTAAAGAGGGTGATGAAGGTTTCATCTTAACGATTACAATAAGTCATTCAGCGTATCTGGAATGACTTACGATCAACCTGATCCATAATAGGAAGACAATATTACGCAGGGACCAAACTGGACCGAGTGCAAAGTCCTCACATTGTAATAAAGCAAGGGAGACTGGAAATTCTTAGTCACAGTACCACAAAAATTTGGAATAATACTGATTTTCACCTGAAAAGAAACTGTCACGAACACATGGCAGACCCGTCCACACATTCATGCTTTTCAGCATCTTTATTCTTACTCTCTGGTTGCTGTTTACAGCCGGGGTGGTCAACTCGAGAGCTACCGTTTGATTCAGCTGTGTTGGAGCGCATCTAAAAGCTGCAGGACAGTAGCTCCCGAGGCCTGGAGTTTGACACCCCTGGTTTACACTGTCATGACTGCAGCTTTGCAGTTCGCAGCCATTTATATACACCAACAACAACATTATTCAGGACCCAGCACAGACATTAAGCTGGCGAGGCATGGCTGCAGATGCCATGTAGGTGCATCCGCCTCCCCTGCAGCAGCATCGCAGACCACGCCCCGCCACAGGAACCAACACATTTCAACTTTTGGGTATCGACAGGAATTACCCATCTTACGTATCATCTCAATACTGACTTCAGGACAAGGATATTTAACAGTACTTTCCATAAG